CCCCCCCCCCCCCTGCACCTTCCCTTGTTCCCACCCCTCTCCTCCTCCCTCTTTCCCCTACTCCGAATCACCCTTGCGCGGCTGATTCACCATGTCGGACGACGTGACGGAGTCCCTACGGTCGCTGATACCGGCGGACGCGCCGGCCGGTGCGCCGGGCGGCCGGCATGTCTGGCGTGTGCCAGCAGCGCTGGCCGCCTCGTCGGCGGCCGGCCCCGGGCGGGCAAACGTCGGCGGGGTCCTTGGCACCGCCGACAGCGAGCTGGGCGATGCCTCGCTCGATGAGACCTACTATGCGCGGTTGATGCGGCAGGTGGAGGCTACCAGCGGGCCGCCGCCGAAACGCGGCCGCGGCCGACCGCGCAAGGAGGGCGTCCTCCGGCCGCCGACTCGACGCATGCGACACCTGGGCCCAGACCGCCGGGCGGCCATTGATCTGTCCTCCTCCGAGGGGGAGGAAGACCCCAATGACATGCTGGAGTCCCTTGGGAGGCTGCATGCGGCGGCGCGCGCGGCAGCCAACCCCGGGGATCTGGTTCCGCCGATGGACCGGCTGGCCCGGCTGGATGAGCTGGCCCGGCAGCCGTCCCGGAAGCGGGCGCGCGGCGGCCCGGAGCCCGGTGCCACCAAGGTGACGGGCCTATTGCGCAAGGCCGTCACTGCGGCCGGCCTAAAGTCCCGCCCCGGGGCCCGGCCCCCCGGCGCCGGTCCGGACACCGGGCCCGAGGAGGCCGACGCCAGCAATGATACCGCCTCCAGCGGCGAGGACACCGAGGTCACCGAGGAGGAGGCCAGCGAGTATGACGAAGAGGAGGACGAGGAGGAGGAGGAGGAGGAGGAGGACGAGGAGGAAGCGGAGGAAGAAGAGGAGGATGGCGGCAACGACGATGAGCCGACCTCTTCCTCGCCCGCTCCCGAGGACCCCAACGATGAGGAGGATGGCGGCTACTTCGCCAACCTCGGTCGGTCATCCACCACCCCCAGCAACACCCTCAGCAAGTGGCCGGCGCTGGATCCGGCCGTACTACAGGTGCGCACGCGTGGCCGGCGTCCGGTTTCTGCCCCTTTCTTTTGCCTCCCCCCTCGCCACCCCGGCGCCTGCTGCGGCGGTCTCCAGGGACGAGAGATGCTCACACCGCCCGGCGATTTGCCCCTCCCGACCCGGCTGGCATCCGGCAGAGTGCCCTGTCGACGGCCACCGACGGCCTGTTCGATGGGCACCGTGCGGCCCTGGTCGATGCCATCGGCAGCGAGGACGCCTTCAGCACCTGGCTGGGGGGCCTGCGTGCCGGGTTTTCGCAGCTGCTCTTCGGCTTCGGGTCCAAGCACCGGCTGCTCGAGCGTTTCGCCGACTGGGCCGCGGACCGGTGTCCGGCCGCGTGCGTGGTGGAGATCAATGGTTTCTTCCCGCTGGTCAACGTGCGTGGCCCTTGCCTGCTCGGCGCTCTGTCCCCCTCCTCCAGTGGTCTCTGGCTCTTGGTGGGCGCTTCTTCCCGGTGACTGACCCTGCTGCTCGCGGCTGCTCATCCTCCCCTCCCCGCCCTCAGTTTCGTGCCGTGTTGGCGGGCATCCTCTCGCTGCTGGAGATCCCGCACTCGGTTCAGCCGCCGCCGCAATTCAAGCATGTCGCCGACCAGGCGGACTACATTGCCAGCTACTTCAACCGCTTTTGCGACCTCGGGTGTGTCATGCCTCTCTCTCTCTCTCTCTCTTTCCTGCCTGCCTGCATTCGTGCTTGGTCTTTTTTTCCCTCCTCACACAAGCGCCATCCGGCCGGCCAGGCTCATCATCGTGGTGCACAACATCGACGGGCGTGGGCTTCGGACGACCGTCACTCAAAATGCCCTTGCAGTACTGGCCGCCTCGCGCGGCATCGGCGTCATCGCCTCGGCCGACCACATCAGTACCCCTCTCCTGTGGGACACGGCTTCGATCACCAAGTGCGTCGCCGGCCGCCGGGCCAGCCGGCCTATTCCTCGCCACCTTTCGCGCCCCCTATTGACTTGGCTTTTTTCCTCGCCCCCGGCCGGCGCTAGGTTCAACTGGATTTGGCGCGATGCCACCACCTACTGTCCCTACATGGCGGAGATATCCTTCGAGGGGAGTGTCATCGGTGCGCTTCCCGCTTGTTTTTTTTTTTTTTTGATCGCGAGCCATGGGGATGCCCCTTCTAACGGCCGGCCCCCGGCCATGCGCCAAATCAGGACGCAAGACCGAACTTTCGATCCAGGGCGCGGCCTTTGTCATGCGCAGCATGACCGCCCTCACGCGGGAAATCTTCCTCCTGCTGGCCGAGCAGCAGCTGGAGCGCATGCGTGCGGCCGGCGGTGGTGGCGATGGCGCTGGCAGCCAGGACAGCTCGGGGGCCGTGGACTCCCGGCCCCGCAGCGCCCGGGCGCACTCCCACCACCCGGCGCGCTTTGGCCTGCCCTTCGATGTCCTCTTCCTGGCGGCGGCTGACGCTTTCTTGGTCAGCTCGGAGCAGCGCCTGCATGAGCAGCTGAAGGAGTTCATTGACCACCGGCTGGTGGTGGTCCACCGGCTGTCCGGCCTCGGGAGTTCCGGCACCGGCGGCGGGGGGGGCTCCATCGATGCGGCCGGGCTTGGCACCGGTGCCGGCGGCGAGGACCTCTCCCTGGCGGTGATGGCTGCGGCGGCCGGCAGCCTCGGGGCCACGGATGTGTTGTACATCCCGCTGGATGCGGACGCCCTGTCTCAGGTGATCTCCCAGACACGCGCCATGTAATAGACACATGCTGCTATTAGTTGGGAGCCAGGGCGGGCCGTCCGGTGGGACTTTCTCGGCAGCCGGCCCTTGACTGACCACCGACCTTGGTGGTGGTGGTGGCGGTGGTGGTGGTGGTGGGCGGCTCCGGGCATGCTGTTTGCTGCCCTGCGTCGGCGTGCGGCCGGCAAAGGGGGGCCGCTCGCTCGGGCTTCCTTCTTCAGGACACCGAGCCGGGGGCTTGGGGGGTCGTGTGGCGGGTGCCCAGCAGGCGAGTTGGTTGTTCTCCGTGCTGGACCGGCCCGCGCCCGGCGTGGTCAGCCCGCCTTTATGCCGCCCCTTCAAGGAGGGATGGCAAATGCGCCGGGCCAGTCCCCCCCCCCCCCCCCCCGCGTCCTCGGAGGGGAACAGGGTCGCAGGGGGTGCGCGCGTATGCGGGGCCGGGTTTTTCCCGGCACGTTACCACTCGTGTCCCTTCGTCCTCCAGCCGCAGGTGCTGCCTCGTCGCGGGGGGCGCCCCTCTCTCCCCCCGGTGGGGATCGACAAGCGGGTGGGTGTCCGGACTCTGTGATCGCCCGCTGGCGCGTGCTCATAAACAAACACTCGCGCGGAGGGTGTGGCTGAAATAATAAACAACACGGGTTGAGGGCGTGCCGCAAGCCAGGGCCCTTGCAAAGGAGCAAACATACATACCCACACACACACACACACACACACACACACACACACTTGCAGGCATGCGTGTTGGGTTGTGTCTCGCCGCTCCGGTTTCTGCACTTGGGGCCCCTCGCATCACCGGCCGATCCCCCCGCCCCCGCCCCCCCCCCCCCGGCTGCCCGGGTCAACACATTCCTTCGCGTTGGAACGACACAGATCCATCAGCCTCGGGGAGTGGATCGATGACTCTTTCCCTCTTTCTCTCTCTCCTCTCAGGCGACTTTTCTGAGGATAGAGACAGAAACCCTTCCCCCCCCCCGGGCCCCCTCTCTGGCGCCCTGTAGCGGGCTCCCCCCGGCGCCTTCCCCCCCCCCCGCCTCTCTCTCTCTCCCCCCCCCCCCTGCTGCGCTCTTGGGCTTCTGTCTTTTGCTCATCCCGCCCCTGCCTCCCTCCCCTGGCCGCTCGTCTTTTGTCCATCCCGGCTCCTTCGCGCCACCCGACCAGACCGCCAGGAGCAAGCGGGCGCGCGCGCGTGTGTGTTTGTGTGTGTGTGTGTGTGTGTGTGTGCGGCCGATCATTGTTCTCCCCCATTTGCCCTTGCCTGAGTCCCTTCCTTGCGCCTGGCCTTCGCCCTGGCCCCTCGTCCTCGGTCGCCGATGCCCTCGGAGCCGGGCAGCCCGATGACCGGCAGCAACGGGTCTCTGAACCGCGTGCCACCGGCGGTGGACATCCCCCGGTCGCCGGCATCCCCGCACTGGATGGAACGCTCGCCGGAGGCCAGTCCGCCCGGCGTGGGCGGCAGCCCGATCGGGCCTGGCGGTGGGATGTCGTATCCCGACTCTCCGGCCGGCTCGGGGGCCCCCTGGTGGCCGGAGACCGGCCCCGGGGGTAGCACATCGGACCTGTCCGATGCCGGCTGGTCGCCGGGCGACGACGATCCCACCGGCAGCCGGGCGGCCATGGACTCGGCGTCCTCGGCCACACCCATGACCACCGTTCCGGCGGCCTTTGTCACGGTCTCTCCGCAGGACTTCTTGCAATACCACCGAGCGCCTGGCTCGCGCTCGGACATGACCAACTACGGGTCGCACATGCCGGCCGGGACGGTGCAATTCTTCACCGACTCGGCCGTGCGCCCCTGGCGGGACTACTTCCTTCGGTTGGAGTTCTCCCGCGACACTGCCCTTCCCCACCTGGCGCTATACCCGAGGCTGAAGTCGCGGTGCGTGGTGGATGCACCCTGCGCGGCCGCGTCGTCACACGCGCCCCCACGCGCCCGCTCGCCCGCCCGCTCGTTCGCTCGCTCGCTCGCCTGCCGACACACATGTATACTCACTCACTCGCTCGCTTGCCCACGCGCACGGACACGTACCTAAACGCTTACATCCACCCACACACGTGCATACACTCGTGTGTACGCGCGCGCGCGCGCGCGCACACGCACCGCCAATTCGGGCCCCCCTCTCCGTGGCCCCTTCCTCCTCTTCTCCGGTCCTCCCCCCCCCCCTCCCCCTGGGATGTCCTGGTCCCCCATGCGACCGACCATGCCCCAGTCACCCGACCATCATCCCCCTATTTTCGGCATTGAGAATTTTCCTGCATGGCACCCCGCCACCCGGGGCATCGGTCCAGCTGCGTGACTGCTACTCGGCCGGGGTGCCGGATGTGCCCCCGCCACGGAACATGAGCCACTCGCACATGTTTGCCATCCAGACAGCCGGGCACCTGCATCACTTCTGCTCAGTCGACATGGCCGAGTCCTGGGTTCTGGCCCTGCGGCAGCTGCGCGCGACTGCCCGCTTCCGGGTGCTCGGCCCGCCGCGCGATGTACGCCCCTCGGCTTTGCTGGTGCCGCGTCGCCTTGCCCCCCCTCCCCCCCCTCGACCTCCGGATTGACCTTGCACTCACGCCTGGGGCTGTATGACCGGTTTCCCGGTTGTCTCCGCCCGCGATGCAGCCCCCCCCGCGGGCGGCGTACTATCTCCCGCCGGCAGCCCAAGCAGAGCCGGCCGTGGCCCCGGCCGCCGAGAGCCCGCTTCCCTCGCCTGCTCCCGGTGCCGGCGATCTCCAAGTCCCGGTGTTCTTCTTGCCGCCGCACCGCCTGACCGGCGACCAAATGGTGTGTCGGCTTTCTCCCTGCCCCCCCCTCCCCCCCCCCTCCCTCCCCCTGCGGCGATCCGCCTTGTCACATTCACTGACAGAAGGTGGCCCACTTGGCCGAACGCTCGCCGGCCCCCTGTCAGGTCTCCCTGCGCGTTGGCCTCTCGGTCATCCGGGCCGCGGCAGCCGACCTGGCCAGCCCGCTGCACCCACCTGCCTTCCATTTCCTGGACCCGCTGGAGGAGAGCATCCCGGCGTCGGACTGGCCCTTCGAGTGCCAGCTCTTCAAGCACCTGCCGATGAGCATGCTCTGCAGCAGCTCGGCCACCCTGGTCGAGAGTATCGTCACCAACCTCTACTTCCACTTTGCATCCTTCATTGCCTCCTGGAGCGCGTCGACGGGGGACAGGCCGGTGGCGGAGCGTGGCGCGGCCGCCTCTCGCTCGCAAGCAGCCGGCACCAGCAGCCTGGAGGATGCCCTGCAGTCGGCCCTGCGAGGGTCCGACGTCTCCACCGATGACGAGACCTTCGGTGGCCCCGGCTCGGACCTGGCGCCCGAAGACATTCCGCACACCACCGAGGGCCATTTCGATGCCTTTGCCGACAGCCACCTCTTCGACAGTTTGCTGCTCAACTCCTCCCTGGATGAGACCGTCGGCAAAGTCCGTGCTTCCTGGCGTCTGGTTGCCTTCACGGCTGCCTCGCAATCCTGTGCGCCGGGCTGCTCTCCCTTGTCTTTTTTTTTCGCCCCCCCCTCCCCTTTTTTACCTCGCGCGCTTGCGCTTGAGTGCCGGGCCCGCGACTGACGCTCCCCTGGCCGCCTCCGCCTCCGCCTCCGCCTCCGATGCCGCCAGTCCTGTCGATCACGGACCTGGTCAATCGCGTAAACACCGACATCCTGGCATTGGTCTTTGTGCCGGTGGACCCGCTGTTTGACAGTGTGGCTCTCATCCCGTTGTCCTTTAGCCGGTCCCATCCATGCTTCCAGGACACTGGGTGCGCCTTTTTACCCTCGCCCCCCCCCCTCCTCCTCCCCTTGAGGCTGCCGATGCTCCCCTCGAGTGGCTTTGAGGAAGGCTTCCCCGACTGACCTCCCCCTCCGATGCTGCCTCGCCCGCCCGCCCGCCCGTGCGCCTGATTGTCCCGGCCGTCAGGGGGTCCGAATCGCCGACCGACGGGACGATCTGCTCCTGTGCGCTGGATTCGCTGTCGCGCCTGCCCCTGCCGGTGTCCACCCTGCAGCGGCTCCTTCAAGCCTCCCCGGGGTCGATCTCCTGTCCGGAGGGGGCCGTATCGTCGGTGGGGGCCATTTGCGAGCGCAGTCGCGATGTCTTCCTGGTGCTGCGCATGCGAGCGCCGGTCGGGCTGCCGCCCGTGTCGGCCATGATCCCCGAGCAGCCGGTCTCCTCGCGCAACCCCACCCCCCTGGCATATGCCCAGCGGATGGGTGCCCTGCCGGTGACCGGCGACCTGGCCCTGCGGGCGGTTGGGCTGGCCGGGCTGCTTGGCCAGCCGGTGGATGTGCGCCAGCAGCCGGGGTCGCTCTTTGCCCGGGATGCGGACCATGCCGCGGCCATGGTGTCTCTGTGTCTCGGTGAGTGGGGCGCACAGGCGGTGACGACGGCGGCGGCGGCGGCGGCGGCCGTGTCCGGCGTCGACCCCTTCGCGCCGCTGCAGCACCTCAGCGCCCTTGGCGTGGCGCCGGCCTTTGCCCGGGCAGCGGCCGAGCCGGCCGTCGGTGCGCAGCTCCTCCGTCTGGCTCAGGACACGACGGCCAAGTTCCGCCGGGGGGCCACCTCCGGCGGGGGCCTCCTCCGACGGCATCGGCTGTTTGGGTCTGGGGCGACGGCGGCCGGGGCGGCCACCGACCCCGAGCTTGATCCCGGTCGTGGTGGCGCCCCGGCCGGGACGGCGGTCCTGCTGCCGGATTGCCCGCGCCTGTCCTTCGAGGCGCAGCACTCGCTCTTCCACCTGGTGTTGGGGTACTCGGCGCGGCGGCTGTCGGCCCATGTGTCCACCCTGCCGCGGGCTCTGCCGATGGCCGCGGCCCCAGCGGCCACGGTGGCCGCCTCTCCGCCTGCCAGCATGCCGGGGACCTCGTACCAGCCGCCGGTGGAATCGCCGCCCGGATCTCCCGGGCGCCTCTTCGCCGAGGAGGTGGACTCCTCCGCCTCGACGGACCTTGACAATGGCTCGGGCGATGAGGGGGCCGACGATGGCGGGACCACCGGCGATGGCGAGTTCTCCGACAGTGACACCGAGCCGCCGGCCGGCGATCCTGCCGGGCCGTCGTCCCCCTCGAGCCCGGCCATCCTGGCCCCGGTGCGTGGCCCTTCCCCCGGTCCGGCCCCGGCCAAGGCCAGCGCCGGCACCCCGCCGCCGGCGGACCAGCTCTTCCAGCCGGACTCCTCCTCGGATGAAAGCTGCGCCGAGTCCCTCTTCGAGACGATCAACCCGCTGGATGCCGTGCCGCCAGGCGAGGCGGCCCTGCCGCCGGAGCTGCAGCTGATCCAGCACCAAGACACCGACGAGGACCCGGACGCGGATGACATGGTGGAAGAGGCCGGCCCCGGGGTGCTGGACGCCCCGCTGGCGGTGCTGACATCGCACCGGAGCCGGCTGAATCTCGTGTCTCAGCCGTCCGGGCCGGCGGTGGCCCCGAGCTCGGTGCTTGGCCCGGCGGCCGAGGAGGCCGATGGCCCGGGCGCCGGGGCCCCGGTCGGACCGTCGGTCGCGGAGTTGGCTCACAAGCGTCGAGCCGACTTCGCCCTGGAGGTGGCTCATGGCCATGCGCAATCGGCCCGGTGCCTGCGCCGGCTGATGGAACTTTCGGCGGCTGGCGACCAGCTGCGGCTGGACCCGCAGGCGCTGCTCCTTTCCGCCTGGCAGCACATCGAGCCCGGGTCCGAGTCCGGGTCCGATGGTGGGGGTGGCAATGTGCAGGGCCATGTGGCCGGGGAGGTGGTGGCCTCGCCGGGCCCCGGGGGGCCGGAGGGCAAGGGCGCCGCCGCCGCCGCCGCCGCCGCCGCCGCCGCCGGCCTGCCGCCGCTGTGCGGGACGGCGCACCTGGCGCTGGAGCGCTCTTCGGCCGGGGGCTGGCGCCGGCCAATGCCCGGGCCGCAGCGCCCCCCCGGGGCGCCCTTCCTGGCAGCCGGCCTGGCCACCCCCCCCTCGGAGCTGGAGGACGGCTCGGCGCCCGGGGCGTATGATGCCATCCCGGAGCTGGGCCACATCCTGGGCCTGGAGGCCTTCGATGCCGCGTGCCCGGCCGGCCTGGGCACATCCTTCGACTTGACGATCCACTCGCCGGAGGTGCTGGCCACCCTGCTGCCGGCCGTGGTGTATCCCGACCTGGCCGGGCGCCTGGCCGGGCACTCGCCACCGAAGGCGGCCCTCCTGGATGGCGGCTCGGCCCTGGCCACCGTTCGAATGGCCGGAGCCGGGGCCCGGCTGACACTGCATGCCGATGGCCGGTGGAGGTGCTCCTCGCGGCATCTGCCGGCTGCCGGTGATCTGCTGTCCTTCTCCGAGGGCCAGCGGCGGCGGGGCTTTGCGGCCCCCTGGCTGCGGGATCTGTCCTCCGGCCGGCACCGGGACATCGCGGCCGTGCCGATCCAATGTGGCCTGGACTTCCACCGGCTGCCGCTCTTTGCCGGCCAGCCTCCCGGGCACCGGACCATGGGCCCGGCCTCGACGCCGCCCCCGAGCCCCGGTGGCGAGGTCTTGCCGGAGCCGGCTCCGGAGCTGGCCCGGTCCTGGTGCTGGCTCGGCGTGGCCAGCCCGGGGGATTTGCCGGCAGCCGGGGCCCTGGACGGCCTGGCCGCTGTGGTGTTGTCCCTGGCCCGGGTGCCGGCGGCCGGCGGGGACACCCCCGGCACCGGGTCCCCTGTTGCCGGGCAGTGGGTGCTGCGCGCGCATCATCCGGACACCCTGCTGCTGCTGGCCGGCTGGGACCTGGTGGCCGAGCTGTCGGCGCCGGCCTCGCCGGAGGCCTTGGAGTCGGGGCCCGCCGTCGTGCCCGGTGGCCCCCCCGGGGGGGCGGTCTTCCGCGGGTCCACTCGCCTAGACCGTCTCAGTGCGGCGGTGGAGTCTGCGGTGGCGGCCCTCACCTCGGCGGACTTGTTCCCCGAGCCGTCGGGGGATGCCCTGTCCTCCTCGGAGGGGGAGGACGCCGAGGTGCATGCCGAGGGTTCCTCCCCTCGCCTGGCCGGGCCGGGGGCCGCCTCCTCCGGCAGGTCGCCGAGCCTCGATGCCGGTCCGTCGGGGGACTTGCGCCTGCATGGGCAATTCCTGGCTCTCGGGGCGATGGAGTTCCGGCCGGTGGGCCGCGAGCTGTCGGGGCTTGGCGACCTGCCGCTCCTGTCGCCGGACTTCAGCCTGGCCCCGGGCCCTGCCCCGGCCGAAGTGTGCCCCATCGACTCGGTGCAAGATTCGCAGCTCTTGCAGCCCAGTGCGTTTCGCGGTCCTCCTGCCTTTTCTCCCTTCCCCCGCCCATTTGCCCCTCTCCTGACCATGTGTCGGTGTGTCTCGCCGCCGGGACAACCGCCCCGGTGTGTTTCCCTCGCCCCGCCCTCCCAGTCGACCCGGCGAACTTCTTCTCGTCGCTGCTCCGCTCCTATGCCTTTGTGCTGGACTTCCTGCTTGTGCAGCAGCAGTCGCCGGTGGTCGAACCGGAGTGCCTGTCCATGTGGAAGTGCGCGTCGGATGGGGCCCCTGTGGGGCCGGGGCCGGGGCCCTCTCCGGCGGCCGGGCCAGCCTCCGGTGCTCTCGGCGCCTCGGACAAGCGGTCCTTCCTCTCGTCGCTCATGGACACGGTGTCCGTGGTGCGGCCGGGCTTCGGCGACGGGCCTGCCGGGGGGGACTCCTCCGGCGGTGTCGCTGCCGGCGGTGCTCCCCTGTCACTGCTGTCGCCGGCGGCCGGGCATCCGGTGCGGTCGGCCCGGGCCTTCGGGCGCCAGTGCCTCTGCCCGGACGCCCTTTCGCGGGAAATCCGCGCCGGGCTCTTTGACGCCTGTTGCCAAGTCCTGGTCAGCGATGTGCGCCTGGGCGTTTCCCCCCCGCACGAGGTGCTCCTGGACAGCCCGGTCGATCTGGCTTGGTGGCAGGCCTGGCAGGCGGTTTTGCTCGGTGCGTCTCCGGACACTGCTGGCCCTGGAGTCAGAGCTCCGGCCGTCCTTCCGTCCGGTCTCCTCGGTCTTTTTTCCTGGCTATTGGCTGCCCTTTCCCCCCATCATTTGCTGTCGTTTCTCACTCCGTCTCACTCCAATTCCGACACTGCCAGCTATCGAGCACCTGCCTGGCATGCGGATCCAGTACTGGCGACAGGTTCTCGAGCAGATCCCCTCGCCCGAAGAGCTGGGCTTCTTGGCCGGCCCGGTAGGTGGATCCACTCCCGAGGCAGGGACCGGCACATCTCGCACCTTGCGAAGCCTGGCCCTCCTGTCAGGTGTGTCGGCCATGGGCGGCAGCAGTGGCGGCAGCAGTGGCGGCGGCGGCGGCAGCAGCAATGGTGGCGGTGCTGCTGGTGGCGGCAGTGGCAGCAGCAGCAGCCCGGCCGGTGCCGCGTCCAGCTCGGCCGCCGACCCGAACATGGTGGCGGCCATCGTGCCGGCCACCTGGTACCTGTATCCCGGGCGCTTGGCCGGGCTACAGCTGCGCACCTTCCTCAGCCACTTGTTGAATTCCGGCACGCTGGCCCTCTTCTTCAAGAGCCTGTGCGCGGCCCTGGCAAGCCACCATGGGGCCGTGCCCTTTGCGTATGGGCCGCGCTCGGTCCTCCGGTCGAAGGACTTCACCCACCGGCTGATTCATGTCCTGGATCACTTCGACACGCTGGCCGTCGGCACCGAGGACTCGCACATCGCCCCCTTTTGCAGCCTTCTTCGCCCCTCGGGGCACATTCAGATGTCCACCACCGTGGAGGCCCGGGCCTTCCGGGGCTTCCGCCCGCGGGCCGGCTCCTCCATCGAGGCGGAGGCGCAGCTGTCCCCGGTCTGGACGGCCTCGGGCCCCTCTTCCAGTTCTGCGCCTGGGAGTGTCGATCCCCCGACGAAGGTTATCGATCCCCCGACGAAGGTTATCGATCCCCCGACCAAGACTGTCGATCCCGCCGCCGCCGCCGCCGTTGCTGCTGCTGCTGCTGCTGAGGCTGTGGCTCCTGTGGGCTCGAGCTCGGGCCTGGGCCCTCCTCTCCCGGCTGGCGACGGGGCATGTGGCGCCACCGGGGAGACCCCTTCCAGCTCGCCCTCCCTGCTGGATGTGGCCCTGGCCCGGGTGTCCAGCAATGCCGACCGGCTGGTGCTGGCGCCGGAGCCCCCGGTGCCAGAGCCAACCCCGGAGCCGGTGCCTGAGGCTGTGGTCGCGGCTCGGCGCCCGGCGCCGCCGGTTCGCCGGCCCGAGATTGCCGCCCTGCCGGAGATCCACCGGGGTGGCTTCAAGGTGGCTGTGCGCCTGGTCCGGCCGGCTGGCCAGGCCTTCGGTCTGGCCTTCGCTCGGGATAGCCTGCCGCCGGCGGTCCTATCGGCGCATGGCGTCGCCGTGCCGGCCCCGGATGAGGACAGCGAGGAGGAGGAGGAGGACCGGCATGCCGGCCAGGGGGTCCCGGTGTACCGGGTGTCCCTGGTCCACCCCGGGACGCCGGCCGCCCAAAATGGCGGGTGCGTGTGTGTTTGTGCCTGTGCTCTGGTGTGCCCGGGCGGGAGGGGAGCCCACAGGGCTCCTTCCATGTCTTTTCCTCTTTCGGCCTTTTGTGCCTCCTTTTCTGTGCCTTTCGCCGCGTCCTTGCATTCCCCCTTGTTCCTCTTCTCACCACCTCCCCTTGTCTGCCCCCTTCTGGCGAACCCCCTTTCTTTGCGCCCCCCCCCCCCCTCTCTCTCTCTGTCCCTCTCCCGACGTCCATCCATGGCCGTTTCGCCGTGCCTGCTCTCGCCCCGACGCGCACAGGCTCCGCCCGGGTGACACCATTCTCGCCATGGGGGGCCGGGGCATGGTCGGCTTCATGAGCTTCGAGCCGATGGAGTTTGTCCTCGGGTCGGCGCTGGAGGTGGAGATCACGGCCCTCCGGACGCCTTTGTGGCCGGCACCGGTGGCCATGGGCGGCACGCCGGCGCCGGCCGCCGACGCCATCCCGGCCGCCGGTCAAATCCTCGACAGCATGGCCGGAGCTGTGTCCTCCAGCGCGTCGGAGGTGGTATCTCTCTTCAACACCGAGGTGTCCTCCTTCCTCAGCCGGTGGCGGCGCTAATGTGCCGGGCGTGGCCCGGCGCCGTCTCTCACGAATACACTCCCCTTGCTCTGTGGAACGTCTCTTCCTTCCCGCTCCTCCCCGGGAGCCTTGCGCTGTCTGTCCCCGCTTGCTGCTTGCTGGCGTTGCGAGCCTCGCCCCCCCCCCCCTGCCGACGATCGTATGTGTGTGACCCGGTGGGTCACTTCGAATGCGCGCTTGCTGCGAATCTGATTTTCCAAGATCTATTGTTGTCCGTTTCTCTGGGCACTTGTGCCCCCCCTCCCCCCCCTTCGCGTCTCATGCCGCCTGAACTCCCTCCGGCTCGAGGGGCCCTCTGGCACACGCATCCCCTCTCACCCGGACCGGGGGCGGGGGGAGGGGAGCGTGCCACGAGTGTGGCGTGAGAGAGCGCATGCCACCGGCCGGTCTATCCCCCTCCCTGACCAGGGGGGCGCACAAGAGGGCCACAGCCGACGCCCAGTCGAGGGAGGATGGGGGCTCGACACAAGGGGCTGCCACTGCTCATCGGGGGCGGCAGGGACAAAAGCCCCAGCCTGGAGGCGGTGTGGCATGTCATGCTCTACAGGAGCACACGCATACGTTGCCACGCCGAGGCGATGGCTGAGGAGGGGGGGGGGGACAAGGGAGCTCCGGCGGCAGGGCCCCGAGAGCCAAAGAGAAACAAGACAGGCATGGGGAAGGAAGGGAGGGAGGGGGGGGGGGCGCGGCGGGGAGGAGGGGAGGGCAGATGCATTGTGCATTGCCCCGGCAAAAAAAAAAGGGACCGCTTTGGAGCAGTGGCCGCACAAGGGCTCTTGTTCTCTGTCTCTCTTTCTCGCTCTCGGCGGCAGTGTGTGTGTGTGTGTGTGTGTATGTGGGGGGGGGGGTCTTCTGAGGCGGGGGTTTTTCTCACTGCTTTGCACGGAGCTGCCCGGCTTCCCGAGCGTTCTTGAGGGGCCCCGCGCCTCGCGTCTCATGCAGGGGCGGTTGCCCCTGCTGCTCCCCCCTCCCCGAGCCCCCCGCCCACACACATGCCTTTCCTGCTTGCTTTCCTGCTGTTTAGTGCGCCTCTTTTGTCCACCTCGTGCACCATGCCCCCCAGAGTGGGGGGAAGAGGGGGGAGGGGGGCTGCTGAGCAAGCGCACACACTCCCCCCCTCGCGCTCGCCCGATGACTCTCTGTCGCCCTCCGTCACAGGGGGGCGCACGCACACAGTGGCATGGGCGCATGTGGGCTTTTCTCTTTGCGCGAAAAGAGAGCGGGCTCACGCGCGCCTCAAGGCCGGCGACCTCCACGGACGGGGTAGTGTGGCTGCTGCTGCTGCTGCAGCTGCTGCTGCGGCGGCGGCGGCAGCGGCGGATGGGTGATGGAAGCGGTGTGGGCGCCGGAGAGCGTCTTCTCGGGGAAAGGGTGGAAGCCACCGGCCTGATGGTGAGGCGGGTTGTGTTGGTTATGCTGGCCGTGGTAGGGGTGATGCTGGCCGTGGTGGCTGTGGTGGCCGGGATGGTGGTGGTGGTGGTGATGGTGGTGCGGCTGCTGGCCGGCCGCAGCGGCGGCTGCCGCCACGATGGCCGCATGCTGCTGCGGATGTGGCAGGTGGCCCACCTGGTGGAGGTGGTGCTGGTGGGAGTTGGCCCCGGCGGCGCCATTGTAATATGCATGCTTGCTGGGCTGCGGGCCCGGCGGAGCGGCGGCCGACGACGCGGCCGACGCAAGCACCTGCTGCTGCTGCTGCTGCTGCTGCTGCTGGTGGTGGTGGTGGTGCTGGTGATGGTGCGTGCGTGCGGCGGCCGCCTGCTGGACAAAGCGCTCGGAGGACATGCCGGCTGCGGCCGCGGCCGCGGCAGCAACGGCGGCGGCAGCTGCCAGGGTGGGCTGCGTGGATGGGGCGCCACGTGAACGAAGGTCGGCCAGAGGGCAGTCAGAACGAGTGCCATGGTTGTTGTCGGCCGGGCATCGCCGCAAACGCACCTGCTGGTGTTGCTGGCCGGCCATGGCCGCCACCGGCGACTGCCCATGCCGGGGCAGGGCATGCTGGGTCGGGTATTGCTGCTGGTGCTGGTGCTGCTGCTGCTGGTGCTGCTGCTGCTGCTGCATGTGGCGCTGCTGCTGCTGCTGCTGCTGCTGCTGCTGCAACGGCTGAAGGTGCGCCGGCTGGTGGTACTGCACGGTCTGGTGGCCGGGCTCGGGGCCGTAGCCAGCGGTGGTGGTGTTGGCGGCGGCGGCGGCGGCGGCCCCTGCCATGCGGCGGTCGGCCGGCCCGTCGTAGGGCCCTTGCCTTTGGGCCCGGTGGTGCAGGGGTCCGCCCTCATTGGAGGGTCCCCCGGCCGCCCCTGGCGGCAGGTGGTGAGGATGGTAGGAGGAGTGCTGGCCATGGTGGTGGTGGTGGTGGTGGTGCTGGGCATGGGCACGACCGCGGCCGGGGTGGTGGGCAGCCATTTGCTGCGGCTCCGGGGTGGCCGTGCGCGGCGAGGAGGAGCGCCGGCTGCCGGCGGCCACGGCCCCGGGGTCGAGGGCCGCCGCCGCCGCCGCCGCCGCCGCCGCCGCCGCCGCCGCCGGCAGGGTCGAGGCGTGTCCCGAGTGGTATTGGCGAGCATCCGGGCCGGGGGCCGGCTGCTGGCCGCCGAAGAACTGCGCCTGGGGCTTGGGCGCGGCCACGCGCACATGCTGTGGCTGGCTGGCCAGCTGCTGGGCCGGGGCCGGCTGCGTGTGCTGGTGCATCTTCTGGATGGACCGGACCACGCACGCGGCCAGGTCCTTGAGCCAGCCGCGCCACACGGCGAAGGCGTCGCCTCCATCGAGGGCCGAAAGCCGGTAGCCGACCGTCATCAGGAGGTAGCGTTCGGCCGCATTCAGGTGGACCAGATCCACGCCGGACACCGTGGACCAGGCCTTGTTGGCGTAGGTGTGATCGTCCAGATGCTTGGAGGCGATGGCCAGGCAGGCCACCAGCCGGGCAAAGAGGCTGATCGAGGCCGGCGGCACC